CAGCCAATGGTGGTTAATAGCAGGGATGAAGTTTAACCTGTTTGACTTTGCACCGAAAGGGACAAGTGCCACAGGTAGCCTCGCTTACAGTGAAGTACGAAGAGAAGATTTAACAAGCTACTACTTGTCAGCTCTTAATTAGCAGCTCCCATCAGAGCAGCAGCACCCAACTGCAACACCGTCTGCTTCAGTGCAAAGTCCAATTCATTAGTTAAATTTTCAGAAGCATCATATTTTGATTGGATGACGGTATTTAACAGCTAAAGCATGGCAAGATCTGACTACCTTTCAGTTGTTTCTGTCTTGTAGGGAGAGTTTCTAGCTAAACTTAGTACTTGATAGTATCTGCTAAGCTGGATGTAAGCAGCAGGTCAGGAGATTCCTTGGGCTAAATCCCTGGACATGCTGCAAGGTGATTTTTGTTTATTTTGATTTGCAGTGCAGATTTCCATATCCACTACTATTGCAAGAGACAGCTGTACAGCATTTGATTTGGCCAAGTGGGTGTCTAATGACTAGTAGCCTTGCTGTTTTGACAGTAAGTCTGGTTTGCCACTGCTGTAACATAGCCACCGCATGGCAATGCACGCTTTGCTATGGGCTTTGAGAAGATAAGCCATGCTGTGTGCATTCACAAGGTAAAGCACAATTTGTTGAGCCTGCCTGTAAGAAATGTGGGTAACATTTAGCTCTTAAGGAAGGTTGTGTACAGTAAAGTGGTATACTTTTCGAAACGTTGTACGCAGGACATTCAAGAGGGATTTAAAATATAAAATACAGTAAAACCTTACTCAGATTGCACTGAGGAACAGTTACAGAGTTGAAAATTGAGAAGAGAAATTATTTCCTTTGGGCTCTGTGTGAGTGAGTGTGTGATGGAAGTGTGTGAGCTGGCACGTCAGCCACACAAAACTTCCATTGTTAGAAGAATCCTTCTTGTATTCTGCCGGTCCCATGGATGTCTACAAAACGTAACACACATCCTGCTGATATAAATTCTTAGATTTTTAGCCATCTTGTGTTTGCCAACCTTTCTCCAAGAGGCTGCATCCTACCGTAAACTTGCTAGCAGAATGTGACAGAAATGGCATGAAGCAAATAATTTTGTGTGGATAGGGTATACCATAGCTAAACAAGCATGATGGCCAGCAAAATCATAAGTGGGAAATTAATGTTTACTTCAGCTTTTAGTTTTTTATTCCAGGATATTGAAATGAATGCTATAACAAAAGAGGGGGATGAGAAACATCTCCAAGCATTTATATGTAAATGTACATTTCAGCATTGTGGTTTTAAAGAGTCTCTGGAGTTCTAACTTCTTTAAAACACTGCGTGGATGAATCAGCCTCTTTCAGTGTTTAACCTCTAAGCCATAGATTCTTACACATACTCACGCTCACTGGATGTTTATGGTTGTTTTCTTGCCTCTGTGTGTGTGTGCACCCACACATAAGCAAATAATCAGGAGTGATAAATATAGATTTAAGAATCTAATATGTCTCCCATTAAACTTTGAACTATTATTTGCATGAATAAATTGTACATGTTGAAGCACTGGGAGCATTTTCTGTTGCTTGGAAGTAGCACTCCAAAGCATTTTATGAACTATTAACAGTCTGATACAAGCTATCTTGAAGATTTTATAACAATGTAGAAAACTGCTTATATTTTCGCAGAAATGCAGGGAGTAAACTGTTGTGGTTAGTTTTACCATGGAGGAAGAGTGACAGCAATGAACAGCAAGAAATATGCCACAATCTTTTAATCTTTTTCTTTAATGCAAAAAGGATCTGTATTTCTTTTACAGCATGCAAATAAAAGATGAAAATAATGCTAAAGTGGTCTCAGCTATTTGGAAACAAAGTAAATCTATTGTTTATATTTTTGGAAGTGTGGTGTATAAGAACTGCTGTTCCAATAGTGGAGTGTCAACTCTTGAGTTTAACAAAATTGCCCTTAAATAGTAAAACAAAGCTATAAAAATGAAACATACATTCTTTGAAGGCAAAACACCTGCTAAAATTATTGTATCTTACCAAAAAAAAAAAAAAAAAAAAGGAACAGAACAGAACACATGTGATTCCTGCATCCCATGTGTCAGAATTCTTACAGCTTTTGTTTCCAGACAAAGAGGGGGGAAGAGCCATGGCTGTGCCTGTGGGAGCAGTGGTGGGGAGCAGGGGGCCAGCCTGGAGGGAGGAGTTTGGGTGGACATCCACACCAGCTGCATTTTGGGGGGGTTACTACAGACCGGGTCCAGTCTGGTCCCATGGAGTGACCTCCCTGTAGTGGCTGGGGCCTGGGAGGTGATGCCTGTACTGTGGGTTGGAGTTAGCCATGGCACAGGGTATACTGTTTGCATACTCCAAGCCAACAAAGCGCGATAAGGATGAGGCAGGGGGACGGTCAAGAAATGTGTTCCGAAAGTGCACTCCAAAGGAAATGGGAAGCCCGTAGGACCTTTGCAGGGAAAGGCATTCCTTTGCCCTCTGGCAGCCATCTTAGGTGCAGCTCTGCAACCACAGGGCTTCAGGAACTCATAATTACAGTGAACCTTCACTTTCCCCCTCCCTGTCTTGGACAAGAGTTTCTTCTCCCTCCCTGGAGATACAAGAGGGAATTCCTTAGCCCCAAGGTCAGCCTTTCCTTCGGCTGCACAGTGGGGACATGGGACCACGCCGAGGCAGCAGATGGGCTCTCTGGGGCCCTGCCCTGTGCTAAGGCCCTCGGGCCCAGGCATCACAGGGGTGTGAGAGAAAACCACCTCCTTCCCCCTCTGCCAAGCACGCTGAGTGCGGCTTTCACATGGGCAGCCATATGCCAGGCTGCCAAAAATAACGGTTATTTTTAAAGCAGTTGGGATAACAGGTCCCACTTCATTTATTGCAAAATAAACTGAGAACTGGTCTGTTGTTTCACACTGGTGTCAGGGTCGAAAAGGTTGAGTGTTTCCTCCTTGATCCTTGCATGTGGACATGATACTGTGTCAGAGGCTCCATGTCCAGCCTGTCGACTGCCATATCAGCTAACAGCTTTTAAAGCAAATAGTTTGTAGAGAGGCAGAATAAAAATAATTGTTTCATTTTTAGTCAGTTCTGTGTTAGGAAAGGAGTTTCATGTTAGCATATTAGGGCTGTAAAGATTGTAATTTTTTGTGTTAGTGTCTAACCTTTTTTTTGTATTTTACAGGTCTATTTTCCTTAAGAACTAAATTCTACAACTAATCATATGTTTCTCTTACAAATTAGGAGGGTTTTTTTTACTTGTAATGGCCGCATGTTCTGTGAAATGTATGCAAAGGAGCTCACAAGGATGCAGTGTCTTTTCCCGTTATTCCCAACAGAGGCTTTCTTTGAATCATTCTTAGGTGATGCTATCTACGGGCTGTCACTCTTAGCTGTATGTTTGTCGTATTCCTTCTTATCCTTCCCTCAGAAATGTATTCTTGGCCTTTCTTTGCTGAGAGATCCATCCACTTGCCCTTGCTTTAAATCCCAGCAGGAAGAGATTTCTAAAGCAGAAATGTGGGGTTGGTGTGTAACCACACCATGTCCCCGCGAGTGCCGCTCTGTTCTGCCCTTCCCTGCTATCTCCAGCAGCCAGAGGTGCCTCATGAACCTGGAGGTGCACTTATCACATCACATCACCTTTTTTTTTTTCTTTTTTTTTTTTTTTTTTTTTTTAAATGGCCTACATAATGTTAGGTATAATGCTGTTAAATCATTTCTTCTCCTTAAGGATAGAACGTTGCACTTCATTTCATTACACCTGTAGAGTGAGTGAACATTGCTGAGCTAATATTAAATCTGAAACTTGACAGGCCTCTCTGACAAGTACCTGTAGGTCCCATGGACTTGAAAATTACATTGCTGCAAATGATGGAATACTTGAATCTGTTTAGTTTTTCTGAATTTGAGAGGAGGGACACTTTTAATACTTAAATTCCCATCTTTAACATTGCACAGATGGTGTAATGTTTTTGCATTTTTTATATTGTTTTGGGTTACTGAAGTTAATATTCTGCTAGCTACAAATATCTGCGTGCATACCACAGAGTTCATTTTGAGGACAGAGCTCTGAAATAAATTATAGACCTTGGTAGCAGTCATAAATCAGTCATTTTTTCATTGAGAAAGTGGTGGCACTGGAAGAAAGTTATTTAGTGATCAAAATGCATCGTTAAGCTTTTAAAAAGGGATTCTGTGCCTGTAGTAGAGCTGTAGGCGATTTATGGCTTATCTGTACTCATTGCCTCGAGCTTTTGGAAAATTTGTAAACAAAGCCAGATGCTCATTATGTTCTTGTGCAGGGTTGGTTAGATGGGTGAATGCCATCAGAAGCACTTTGGTCCTGTTGGATTTTAGCATGTTACAGAAAATGGAATTGCTCCAAAATATTTTTTTTAATATTTATCATCCATGAAAATATACTTCTAGTTTCTGCTCATAGAATGGATTTCTTTAAATAGTTGTAAATGATACAAATATTAAAGTAATACTCTGAGAACTGTATTGTATACTAAACTGTGGGTCCAGCTTTTTCTCTGTGTCAGAGTTCGTGCTCACAGCATGTGATGTAGTCAAGCACCGCTCACCCTTTTTAAGGGTTTTGAGCAATGCAGGAGGCTGTGGAAGCTTCAGGCTAGGGTAGCTTCTGCTTTTTACCAATTTTAGGAAATTGAGAAGTGAACTAAGTGACTTTTCATAACCAGTTTGATAAGTTAAGTTGTTTGCTATTGATTGGATAATTTTTACTGCTTGCCTTTTGTCTTCTGTATAGATTATGTGATGTAAAAGGAGTTCTATAAACTACATATTTTTTTGCTTTTTACTGCTCTTTAAGCATAAGAAAATATGCGGCTGTACAAATTGAATTGCTATAGGTTAAAAAGATTTTTTCTTGTAGTCATATTTATTGCAATATGATCATCAAGTAATCTATTTCGTAATTCATGATTAACTTTTTGGTGTATTTTTTTTATTTATCGGCTGCAGCTGACCAAGTAAACAGGTCATGGCACGCTTAACGAAGAGACGACAGGCAGATACAAAGGCTATCCAGCATCTTTGGGCAGCTATAGAAATAATCCGGAACCAGAAGCAAATTGCTAACATTGACCGTATTACAAAGTAAGTGATCTGTTCCAAAAAAAGTCTTGATGAGGGGGAAGGTTGATGCTATTAAAAGCCCTGGGAAACAGAGAGAGTAAACATTGTGAGAGACTGTGAAACAGTTACGTGCACTTCTGTGTTACTAATTATCTAATTATAAAAAAACCCACCTTATAGAATTGAGCACCTAAAGATCCTAAAGTGAGGCTTAATCTATTGAATAGAGATCTTAGTCACCCTGTATTTGTTTTGTATAAGCATCTTTAGGAAATATGCAATGTTTATAGTACTTGAACTGAGTTTAGCATGTCAGAGTTGTACTCACTTGGTAGCTTGGTGAAAATATGAGAAGTAGATGTAACATTTAAGGAGAAAAGGGCAGTAAAATCTATAAATAATCTAATCTTTAGGAAAATGTGATAGGCCAATGGAGAACTCTTTTCCAGAGGCAAAAATAAACTTGAAGTATTAGGTTGCTCAAACAAGTAAGAAGCCATATTTGCTGAGATGGGCATAGGATGCTTTTAAAGAAGACATGAGATGATTACAACCTATGCCAAATACTATTGTTAATATTAAAATATTCTTCAAAATTTATTAGGTGCTGTATACACAGAGAAATATATATTCTTTGTTCTGTGGAGCTTGCAATGTGTAAAAAGATCTAGAGTATTAAAATACCTTTTAAGATAACTTGGAGTAGCCACTGTAATAAAAACTGAGAGAGGTTTTGTGCCTCTCTGTTTTGCCTGCATTTCCACGCCAACATGTACGTCACATTTGTCAAAGAAATCAATATAAATAATTTAAAAGAGCAAATGTAACCATTTGGCAGCTCTTCAGTTGCCAGAACCAATGTGAACGGATGAGGCCAGAGAGCATTAAAGGGGAGTTATAAACAGTGCAGGTGACTAACGGAGTGAAAATCATTATAACATAGTCCACTGACAGAGTTTGGAAGCTCTGGGGTGGAAGTGACAGGCAAAAGTGGTTTCGTAAGTGGAAGAAGTGTAACAGTTCCAGTTCTCCAAACATAGTGAACAGGTGAAAGGAAAAAGGTGATGTCTCAAATGAATTAGTGTGTACCTGGCTCCTACAACAAAGGAAAATGCACCTTTATACTGAAAAGCACCTTTGCAGAGAGAGAGAGAGTTCCAAGCGGCTTGAGGGGGAGATTGTGTTTTAGAGAATTTAATTTTTGAGGTTGCACTTGAGTTTCAGAATGCTTTAAAGCATATATATTTGCATCGTGTCTCCAAAGAGACAACTGAGTAAACTAATGCTATACACTTTCCATTTTAACCTTTCAAATTACTTGCTCCAGGCCATATATTAGCTGAGTTTGTTAGCTGTTTATGCTCTTTTTATATGTAATAAAGGGAGACAGACATATCTAGCTGAGGATTCATCCCACTCTTATGAGAGGTGCCTATTTTAAGACAGTGCAAATAACATTTAGCTGGGTAAAGTTAGGTAAGACAAATCCTGTCATTACAAACAAGGTTGGGAAAACAAGTAATTAGATCCTAGAAAAAGAAGTACTGCTCTTGGTAACTGAAGGGTAGTTTGATTTTTCGAAAAACAGTCTAGATCCAAATTGTATGACTCATTTCTAATCAGAAGAAAAATAACTGAATAAACAGAGATGCAAGCAACCTTAGTACACTGAGAAAGATGTGCAAGGTTTTAGCAGTGAAGAGCAATCTAAAAAGTTCTTGGACATTAGAAATGTTCCACATGCGTATTAGTGCAGACAAGAGTGATGAAAGTGATCTAGTTTCTATTACATGATATTTTTAAGGAGATAACTTTTGACAAGGAAAAGGTAAAGACCTTCGAGTTGCTTTACTAGTCATTGATGAAGAAACACAGATGACTTAGTAAATGAGTATGTATATTACATAATATTCAAAATAAAGTTCTGAAATTAGCAGGGTGGCAAAATATCTCTTCTGATGAAAACTGAGCAGCTGATATATTCTTCCAGGCTCAAAGAGCATTTGGTCAAGGACAACTGCAATTCCTTGAAAGATCAGTTAGTGTCTGGGCACATAGGCAAATTTATGAATAATAAGAAAGATCAAAACCAAGCAGTGGTCAAAAGTGAGTATTATGAGCATATATACATAGTTAGAGCTAAAGGGAGGATTCTTATACTTGGATTAGTAACATTTTTTAGAAGTGTTAATACCTCTTGGGATTGACTAAAAGAGCGGCTTTGCAAATTACAAGTATTTGCAAGTAATAATGACAATGAAATTTATGCAAGCATGTCTTATTCCAGAGTAAAGATACAGAAAACCACCAAGATAATCTTTTTTTATAAACACATGTTTAAGGTGAGTGACAGTCATCCTACTGTGTCATATAGTGGATGGCAACTGTGTACTTTCAGAGAACTTCACAAGTTGAAAAGATGATTCATGATGTGATTTTTATTTTCTTTTTGCCATAGTTTTAGGGTTCATTTTTTGCTAGAGACAAGTTGTCCTGTGTATTTGGTGACCTGTTATTCCAAATACCTTCACAGCAGAATCTCTATTGCTGCTTTCTTCATCAGACAGTTTGCTACTTTTAGGCAAATCTATTTCTTGGCTTTTCTCCTAACTGGCAGCTCAGCATGGTTGTCTCCCTCTTCCTAACATACTCCTGTTTATTTCATTTACTTCTTGCTTTTCTTAGTCTTCTGGTGCTGAGTAGAAGCCACTGTACATGCCAAGGAGCATTTACCTTCTATGACCATGGAGGAAATGTAGGTAATATAAGAAGAGGATTCACTGATTATAGATTATGAACTGTTTCAACTCAATATGTAAAAAAGACAAATTTATGTAACATGTTAAAATATGTAAAATATAAACTATGCGCTTTACGTGCAATTGTTAAAAAATACCTGGGGTAAAGAATACTGGCAATGGAAAGTATGCAGGAAAAATCTATAGAACTAGCCACGCATTTTCTGTAGAGAACATAAGAGTAGGAGGACAGTGTAGGAGGAGCCAAGAGCACTAGAAGGTACTTCTAATATTATCAGGAAAAACCTATAAGGAAAGAGGCCCTTTAATTAAAAGCAGACTAAATCAAGTATGCTTTGCTTTTTAAATTGATGAGGGGGAAAAGCAAGAATAGAAAAATGCGTGATTAGAAGTGATTGAGAACTGTCTTACATTGAGGAAAGAGTCACTTGGAAAATTTGAATACGCAAGTCAGAGCTTTTAAGAAATTAGTAAGCTTACTGAACTTTTGGCAATTGTTTTAGAAAGGTCATTGCATGCAGAGAAGTATTAAGAAACACAAGAAAGATGACTATTTTTGAAGGAATTAAAAATGTGTATGTGTAACACTGTTAATTGGAGTATTATGTAAATACTTAAATAAAAGCATTGGTAGGGAAGAGATCACACTGCACAGACTTGATGTCTCAAAAAAACCCCATCAACAAATCATTATATGAAAGAGATTCTGCAATTTTAGTGATTATATGTGGGGGTACATTGTAGTTGGAAAGGTACCATCGAATTGTTGGAGATAAGCATTCTTCAGTAGCTTGAAAACTAATTGAAGCACTGAAAACCGATACTAACAAGAAGTAACAGTGCAGTGAATTTGAAGGAATTAGTACTGAAAGTGAAAACTGCCTTTTAAAGAGAACTTTAAAAATATATATAAATTTCTGTCTTTGTACATAGACTTCAGTGTGTTCAGTACATTTTTATTTAATGGTAAAACTTATTTGAAAGCAGTGGTAACATTGCTGTAAAGCTATGCGAAATAAATATTCTCACATGGCTTATATTGTCATAGTGTATCTCAGGGCAATAATTGTAATCATTTAAAATCTAACTACTAGAAATATCTAACATTTCTAAACTACCAAGTTACTTAATAACAAAACGATATTTCAGAGAGGTATTTATCAAGAAATATGACTTATTTTTCTGTCCATACTTGATATTGGCATAATTTGACCCTAATATGTCAATTATTTAGATTAGGAGTATTGGTATTAGTTATGCTGTACACACTAGCAGAGAAATGGCTTCCTATATCTTGTGAATTCTCTGTCAAGAAGACAAATTGTTCATCCCTAAAAGTGTGTTAAAAATTATAATTATGCTTTGACTTTCTGTTTTTTCCTCATTATCTTCCATCTGTTTTGGATTTGGGGTAACCTCAAAATTGATTCTATGGAATAAAATGCCTTAAAATACACTGGAAAAAGGCATGCATATTTAAATGAGTAGGATAAATTATTGACATTCAGTTGCATAGCAGATTAGTAAGTATTTCTGTACAGACATGTTCCTAAAGTTCTCTTTCTTCAGCTACTTCAGTCTTCCAATTTCTTTTATAGTATTTTCTTTATAATTCCCTTGCAGGTAATTGGATTCCTAAGATTTAATTAACTTAATAAATATTAATTAAATATTTACCCTTTTTCTCACAAGTTATTGGGTTTTCTCAGTAACAATTTATGAACATCTCATGATCTTTATGATTAGTTCAGAGTTCATTATTAAGTTAATGTTATTAAAATACCCAATTGGCAAATACAGTGTTCTAGAACTATTATTGGCCACTTTCAAGATTTTGTCTTGTAAACAGATAATTATTCTGGTTTCTAAACTATTCCATGAAGATTAATATGAAGAACCAAACCAGAATTCTTTTCTTCCACACTTCCTTCCTCATATTTTTTTTCTCTCTCCCTTTGATGTGTTTCATGATTTATTTAGTTGCTTGGCTGTCTCTTATAAGGCTGCATCTATACTGTCTTTGTGTACTGTGACAGGGAATGCCCTGGCACCATCTGGAGCAGATATGTTGTGACCACACCACATTGGCTTGACTCATGGAGTGTTTCTTTGGCCCTGACATATTCTTTGTCTGTTTTATATGTGTGTGTGGTTCTTCAGTTCTAAGCGCCAAAAATAATACAGCCCACAGCAATACTATTCTTGAAACTTGAAGCTAGAGGCATGATGGTTTGCCATTGGGCATGATGTGAAGGCATCTGA